TTTATGCTATATATTTTGCAGCTCTCACTTCCAGTTAGAAATACCAATAGAAAGAGGAACTTTAAATTCCTGATATTTCTGAACTTTAAATTCTGATACTCCTGATATAAAATGAGAGACAGCTTATTATGTGTTTGCTGGGCCTGTGAACATGATTGTTTCCATCTCTCCATACCCATGTTTGCATCCAGCCATAGGGGTATTATTCTGAATTGCTTTGATATAATTCTGTTGCTACTTCCAAGTTGCAAGGAAAACAAGTGAGTTCAGCATCAGGCCTCCCGGGTTTATTCTGATAAATATTTACTGAAGATTGAATTCTACCAAAATGCCACTAGAATTTTACTCTAAATAAAAATTATGTCGTTGGACTTGTGGCCTCTATTGCCAAGATCTGTGAGCTGTCAATCCCAGATGCTCATTCCCATGCAGTGGCTACAGTCTGCATGGTTGAGCTGGTTTAATCCAAAACTAGGATGTCTCCACCAGTGAGTGATTGGCCTAGAGGCATGAAGTGACAGGACAGTACTTCAAAATTAATTTACTTAAGTGATGTTGCTGGTCTTTCTAGAGTGGTCACCTCTGTGGGACATTGGTTTTATAAGCTAAATGCACATTTCTCAGTGTATAATAATCACTATCCCCTTAAGCCCCATACGGTGACATAAATCCACTTTAAAAAAATTCTATACTGACATGTCCGTGCATGTGATGGTTCAAGTTCCTATTGTAAATACACTGCCAACTCTTCAAATTTCTGTTCTCTAAAACAATACCATTATAACCAATAATTTTAGTTAAATTAGTATTTTTATAACTGTGTCATGAATCATTGCAAAAGTTGGACAAATAATTTTTTCTCTGCTTTGAAGCGCCTGTTTTACACAAGAAGGGGATAAAAAATAAATAAAATGCAATTTTGTGATCCACATAGTGAGGTGAATAATGATAAAGCACACGGAGAATAGGTTTAAAGCACCAGGCTGAAATATGTTAACTTCATATTAAAATTTTGTGCCCCAATCAGATGGCGCCCAGTTGTAGAAGATATGACCTCATGCTGATGCTGAGAGATGGTTTTCTTTTTACCTGTGCTCTTCAAGTTCCCTTTGGGATACAGGTCACTGCTCTGCTGAAGTAAGGATAGGGATTCCTCTCTCTTGTTAAGGCTTTCAGGGTTTCTTCTGCTGCATGGATCTTGGGGCCTCAAACTTAAGATTATGTGGGGATCTAGTCTGTGGATTTGCTGAGAAGCTAAAACCATGAGAAGAACACACAATTGTCCTTCTGTGCCATGCTACTGCGAGTCCTCACAAGGCTGATGCCTTTATTCAAGGAAAAAGTGAGGAATAAGCACTGTCAAAGAGGCTTGTTTCTTTCTTCCTTCCTTCCTCAAAGTGAGTACAAGATCTTGCAAGAAGGGAATAGGGATGATACAGATTTCATCCTGAGAATGGTCTGTCTTCATCCCTCCCTCCAAGACATTGCAGGCTGCTGGGAAAGTATTTTCTTCTTTCTCTGGTGAAACATCATTCCCAAGAAGCGGGAATGAAATTCAGACATACTGGCATTTGAGCATACCTTTCACTTCTGTATGACTGTATGACCCAGTTGGACAGACTATGTGCTTATAAATGTAAAAAACACATTCACTTCTTTACGTAGTTAGTTAATGGTCATTTAGGCTGTATGCTGCATGTGTTTTTCAGGTATTAGAAACATGCACTTTGGCAGGTTAGGGAACGTCTGCTTTTTCTGTTGCAGTTTTTGAGGTGCAATATAAGCATTGTTCTGCAAAAATGCTCCTACCTTGGATTATGCTTGGCACCAATTTACATTATAATATTACTGACACTGCCATTTAATTTGCCTACTTGCCTATGGTCTAAGAGTAGGTAATTTACAAACCTTTAACAATGTTCAGCTTTCCTAAATGGTAGGGAGAACTGCAATTACACTTAAAATGCACTGGTGCACTATGTGTCAGCAAAAAAAGGACCTACAAAAGACATAATTACAATGTAATTGCCTACAAGTTCATGAAGTAAACATACATTATTAGAATGCACTCATCTATTCAATTTAAGTGACATTACAGATAACATATTGCATAAATAGGAAGCCATTTTGTGACTAGTTAGTATAATAATAGGAATTGAAATTAAAACGTGGTATATGTATTCCTAAGAGCACTTCAAGCTTGGCATCTGTTCTATAGTGGCTTGCATTATGCTCAATTTTCAGTTTTAAGCATTTGAATATTCTTGAAAGAAGTATACTAATAAATAATGATACTATTGGGTTAAAAATAAAAGAAGAAGAAGAAAAAAAAAACAAGTTTCAAAACAATGTTTAGGTTGCCCCAAGACCAATTTTTACCCAGTGAAAATTTCAGAAGCAGGAAATGGTCAGAGATGAGAGGGAAAATTTTCAGGAGTTGTTTTTGATGAGTAAAATTGGCCAAAACTGCAGAAAGCAGTATTTACTTCATTTTTTGCCTATATGAGCATCACTGTAACAAAAGCAGTGTTACTGAACTCCATACCCCATTACATATGTATATTCCAAAGTAACCAGCAAAGATACAGCATCAGCATCCTTTTGCTTCTGCTTGGTAAAGCCTGGGTGCTTACGGGGGTCAGTGGTCATCCCGCATTGCACCAGGCAAAGAATCTATGGTGTCTGCAAACATTGGTCTTGGAAGACAAAACTGCACCCTGAACTGCATGACTGCTCTGGATCAAGTTAACTCTTAACTTATCCCCTTGTATCATAAGATTTCTGACAAGTAACCAGTTTATTCTCATGAAATCTCAGGAAAAACCATTCCTCACCTGATGACACCATATCCTCCAGCATCTCATGCAAAAATAGACATTTTCTTGTTAATGCTGCTTGGTAAATGAAGGGCATGTACTTCAGCTCCTGAATGGGAGGTTGGGTATTAGGAAATACTTTTCAGAAAGAGAAGTGGTGCATTAGCACAGACTGCTCAGGGAGTTGGTGGAGTTACCATCCCTAGAGGTGTTCAAGAACCATAGAGATATGGTTCTGAGGCACATGGTCAGTGGGCAGTATTGGTGGGAGGTAGGTGGTTGGACTAGATGATCTTAGAGGTCTTTTCCAACCTTCATAATTCTGTGGTTTTTTATGAAGTGTAGCTGCCTGGGAGAAACATCAGGCTTTGTCTCAGCAAGGAGGTAGAGCAAGAATGGTGATACTGGGACCTATATCTATAGTGAAAGCAAAATTGCCTCTTTAAATTATACGTGTGCTGTTTAGAACATAATTGATGTGTGGGTGTCTTTTTTTTTTTTTTTCTTTAAAGCTTTGTTTTCAATGTTTCTTTTTAATTATTAATCTCTTTCACTGCTCTTCCAATGAAAAGTACAGTTCACTTTGAAAATCGGTCAAATATCTGGAGGCTGCTGGTGCCAGAAATGCAGTGTTTTACTTTTGTTCTATTACCTTACAAGCAGTCTGACACAGTATAGGTCCAGAGTGGATTGTTTATTTATAATTTGCTCTTAGCAGTGCTCCTTGCCAACTTTTATGATCTACATGATATCATGGATTTCTGCTTGGGATTCCACTCTGCTGAAAACAGCTCAGGGTTTGTTTTTGCTGTTTTTTTGTTGTTGTTGTTGTTCTTGTTATTTTTTCTTTGTTTGTTTTGTTTTTAACCTCTTTGTATAGATAAATATAATAGAGGATTACAAGCTTGTTAAGCATTTCCTTTTGGAAAACATTGTCTGATACTTGATATTGTACCAGGGCTCAAGCTAAATTGGTTTAATTCCTTGTACCTGCTGTGTAGTTAGATGAGATCAACTAGACAGACCTTTCCCATTGGTTAAAGGTCAAAAATAGCCTAAAGACATGTTGTTTACAGCACATCATGTTGAGAAATACACTTTTCGTAGAAAGCATGACCATATTATCATTAGCGGTGATAAAAAGCTTAAACAGCTCTGTGGATATAATTACAGAGGATTATTTTTAATCACAAATCTATTTCAAGGAACAGTAGAAGAATAAAATTCACCAGAGAATAATTTCATTATTAATTTGTAATCATTACTGCTGGATTATAGAAAACATTGTTTTATTTTCCAGTAGTGGAATGCATTTTAGAAACTCCAGACACTTCTGAGTGAGCAAGAGTCATATCTTTATGACATTTATATAACTATAAATAACTTCACGAGTGTCTGGCCCTATACAAAGTTATGATGCAGCCCCTGATGACTGATATGATGAATGACATTGTTTTGTGTTTGTTTCTTTGTTTCTTTTAATTATTGTAAGATGCCAAGATGGAAGCTAACACCTTTATTTCAACATTTCAAATTATTTCTCTTGAAAAATATTTAAATTATTACTAAGTTTTTAGATTTTTTTGTAAATTACTTTTGTGAGTATTTTGAAATCTTTGACTTGCAGAACTGAATAGGAAGTGAAGATTAAATGCATCTTCTCAAAGAGCATGAGATTTTTAAAAGCACAAGTTAAAGCACAGGGAAGATTACAAAATGCAAAGACTGGGTTGCTGTCTGGGTATCTGCATCATGCATGGTGGCCTGAAAGTTACACTGACCAAGATGAGATTCAGTGGTATCTCAAATACTGATGCCATAGTATCTTCAGACACTGCTATTACTATTTTTTTTTAAATATTACTTTTTTTTTTTTTTAATAGTTTTCAATATTCCTTGCTAGTTATTGTAAACTTATAAAAATACACAGCAAGAACTTTAGCACTGGATTTTTTATTTAGCAAGCATAGTTTAGAGGAAAACTTCTTAATATTTACTATGAAAGGATCTGAACAGGTTTTTCACTTTCTTTTACACTTGAGCATAAATCTTATATTTTACTTGAAAGTGGTTTATATGGGCTTAGCAAAGCAAATGAGAATCATCTTGTCTCATTCAGGCTCAAAAATGGTGATGGTTTGATTTGTGTCATCATTTTCAAAACGAGAGTGTTTTTCATTTCAGAACTCCTGTCTGTTGGTAGGTGACTACTTCATCAAGTTTGCTTTTCACTTGGATAGAAGAACCAGAAAATGAACCTGGCACTAGAGGAAGCCTGTGTTCCTTCCACAGGTGGGGAAAGCAGCGGGCCTCTCTAAAGCAAGATTCACAGAAGGTAAATAGTTAAAGGATTGCTGTGTCCAGGTGTGGAGCCCTCAGTACAAGAAAGACATAGAGATCTTGGGTCCAGAGGAGGGCGACTAAGATGATCAGGGGGCTGGAGCACCTCCCCTATGAGGACAGGCTGAGGGAGTTCAGCCTGGAGAAGAGAAGGCTGCGGGGTGACCTCATTGCAGCCTATCAATACCTGAAGGGAACCTACACCCAGGAGGGGAGTAAACTCTTCAGAAGGGCTGACAACAGCAGGACTAGGGGAAATGGATCCAAGTTGAAGGAGGGAAGATTTAGGTTGGATGTTAGGGGGAAGTTCTTCACAAGGAGAGTAGTTAGGCCCTGGAACGGGCTGCCCAGGGAGGTTGTGGATGCCCCGTCCTTGGACGTGTTCAAGGCCAGGTTGGACAGGGTCCTGGGCAACCTGATCTGAATGTGTACGTTTGGTGGCCCTGCTAGGCAGGGGGGTTGGAACTACATGATCCTTGAGGTCCCTTCCAACCCGGGTGATTCTGTGATTCTGTGATTTTTCTATAGGGAAAAGGGCTGCTAGAATGGACCTTGCCAAAGTACGTTACTGATGGAGTGAGAGGTAAATCAGTAAGATATAAAAACAGGATACAAAAAAGAAGGTTCTTCAGTAAGGTATGAGTCATATGGTAGATAACATATAAATGATAATTTTGACAGATGATAACCTGTACTGCCAAGTGCAACCTCTGAAGTAAAAATAGGCACACGTTTCTCAAAAAAATACAGACATTGTTCTGTGGTGTTGACATCCTCCTAATAGTCATATCTCTTCACAGAAGTTGTATCTGAGAAAAGAAAATAACATTTTTGTTTTACATGGCTTGACGTCTTCAAAAGACTCAACGGGAAGATTTGGTCATTTTAAAATTTACGGCATTGTACAATTAAAGCACTAAAGAGGTGGAAAAAACTCAACTATATAGTGATGAAGTGTGACTTCCAGACATTTGTGGTGACACATCTTACATGAATTTCCCCAAGTTTTCTTAAAAGATGTGTGCTGCAGCCTTGAAAAGCCTGATTTTATTACAGATCATTATCATTACTTCTGAGCTGCTTTTAGGAGAACTCTTAACTCCAGTGATCTCCAGCCAGCTACTTGACAAAACACCCCTCACATGTTGACTCTCAAGGTGCTTTGGCAAATCATAATTGGCTAATTTTGAAGTGCTTTTATTGGTATTGGAAACTACCAGTATTCTGACATATAGAACCAAAATCAATACTAATGTCAGATTTCATATAATATTTGAATTAAGCACTATTGTTCTTAAATATTCTTGGTTAACCATTTAAAATGATCGTGTAACAAGAAAAAAAAGTTATATATTCTATAAGAATTCTTAAATGGGATGAGTGGATGTTAAACATTCAGCAGGTGTAGAGTGTATGTCTAATATGGACAGCAGAGTTCATGTTTGTATTTTATATGACAAGAAGCAGCAACTTGTTAATTAAGTAAATATTGTAATAAGTATGGCTCTGACATCCACTTGAAGCTTATAACTCCCCAGGGAACTGATTCTTAATTTGTGGCCATGATAATAACAATCTAATGAACCTCCCATCTTACTGGATAGCTTAATAAACTTCAAAGAAAACAAAACAAGAATCTGTGAGTAAAAGTACATCCTTAGCTTTTCATTAAACAAAATGAGCATGAGTCAAGGCCCAGCATGGCTTCCAAAGTTAAAGCTACCAACTACAAAGCAAATGTATGCAGAGAAATGTACAACAAAAGACATAGCTTTTAAACCTCCAGTTGAGTTTCCATAAATGTTGCTTACAAAAGCTACCATTCTCTATGTTAACAAAAAGTTGTGGATATGTTCTTCACTAAATCCTCTTTTCGCATATAATCCACCTTGTGCACTTTATCTCAAGTGTGTTTTATCTGATCTAATCCCAGGCTCATTCATTCTCAGATAGAAGCAACAGGATTATTTCACACTTAAACTGAGTCCAATCTTTCTGTGTGTCCATAAGAGGACACCTGGGTAATGAGAAATCATCTACAGAACAAAAGATTAAGCAGGTGCTAGGAAAAAAATAATTCTTTCAAATATGGCAATTTTTGAAGGAAAAGATAAAACATTTAATTCAGAAGAATGTTCATAGGAGGCACTACATTTTAAAATACATGATCTTATGCCATATACATATGCCTTATACATATACATCTGTGCCTTATACATAGTACCTATATTACTTGGAATGACTTATTTCAGAAAAAAAAAAAAAAAAAAAAATCTATTACTCTAAAGCAGCTTTGATTTCCCTGGAAATAATTTGAATTTCTGTGGGTATAAAGTGAGCAGCATACAGGATATATCAGAGAATTAGTTTTAATCAGGTCAAAGAGATCAGTTCATATCCAGACATATTCTATTTTCCTTATTCTACCAGCCCTTAGTTTAAAACACTTTCAATTTCTGGGACAGGGTGAGAGAGAGGCTTCAGGATTTTGCCTGTGCATCTTCTTTGGCTCTTAGAGATTTCAAGATTGCCTCAAATAATGTCTGTTGTTTCTAGCATATACCAGACTCTTGATGCTGGATGTGAAGGCAGAAACAATTTACTGTTTTAAAACAACGAGCCTGTTCCTCAGGAGACACTGGTAAAGTATGTCATTATTTTCCAATCATTCCCTCCTTCCCTTTTGTCATCAGCCTCCTCCTGGACCAGCATCTAACAGCAGAGAATTTGTCCCTTAATTCTGTAGGCACAGTGAGACTGTAGACTGATGATTTGACTTTCTGAGTCGTAGTCCTTTGAGTTTTCTTCTCTCTAAAGAAATACAACAGAAGTACAGTATGTAAATAGTTCCACAGGATTCAAATGAGTACATTACTGAATTATTACACCAGAGATTGAAAACAGATACATGTTACAGAGGAAAAGGAAAACACAACAAAATTTTCAGATCTCAGGACACAGATTAATTTGCTAAACTGGCTAATAGGGAAGAAAAGTCCAGTAGTTTATAACAAAGTGTAGGTTTGGGAGTTTTTTCCTTTATAATGCCTGGTACTGGGCAATGTCAATCACAGAATAAAAGACTGAGTAGCAATGAAATATAGTTTTTATGGTCTGTACCTTGTTTGGGTATAAAGATGGATCTGGAGTTTACACTGGGCTTGCATTTGGAAAGGGAAGATCCTAGAGCTCCATTCCTTGGATGCATGCAGAGAAGAGTGAGGGCTGAACACCTTGGAAGTATAAGAATTTATAATTTGATTGAAAGAAGCTAGGCTAACAGGTTCAGAATTATTATTTCAAAAAGCAATTGGAAAAAGTAATCCAGCTTTAATATTTTCAAACTATTGCCTAACCTACAATGCATGTTTTGTGGAATCAATAGCATCTTAGGAATACAAAGCTTCAATTGGACCTTCATTATCAAATTGAAATGTTGAGTGTACATATGTATAAAGAATATTTGCAGATAAGCTAAAATTATTTAAATAATTAAATATATTGTTGCATAGATGGGAAACACTCTGGTTTGTTTGTCCCAGGTAAGAGCTTTTTGCTTTACATACTTGAAAGCACATAAAAGACTGGATGTTGTGTTGAGAGACATGGTTTATTGGGAGCTATTGGTAATAGGTGAACGGTTGGACTGGATGATCTTTTAGGTCTTTTCCAACCTTGGTGATTCTATGATTCTATGATTCTAAAATTAAAGAAATTTGTAAGTTTTTATGAATATACTGAAGAGTTATAATTGGCAAATAATTTTTCTCCAAATCTTGTAGAGGCATTTTTCAAAGTGGAACACTTCACCAATTAATAACAGTCTTGGAGCTGAGTTTTCTCAATCTAAGTTTGCATTTTTCAAGAAATTAAAATTTAAGCTGAAAAAATCAGAGAAGTCATTGTTGAAAACATGCTGTAGAAAGTCACCAAGTATGACTGCTAAAATTTTGCCTTTTTCTGCATGAAATTTATGCACTATTTTACCTAAAAATTCAGTAGTGCACACATGTTATCTACCACATATGTTTCTGGTAAGATCCTGTAGATTCAGGAAATTCAAACACATAGAAAGGCAACTTCAGAACAATACTAACACTGATAAATGAAAAGAACACCAGTTTGTCCCAGTACAGTTTTGACAATGTGGAAACAGTTCCTCCTTCTTTCAGTGAGGTTGGCTTTGCTCATCTCGGTCTCCCCAGCTCCTCCCAGCTCATGGGACAATCCTAGAACACTGACCAGAGGATGAAATACAGGAAAATACAGTCAACATGTGAACATCCAAACCACAATGTTGTATCCTTAATAGGCTTTTTAGTTGTGACTGAATGCGGAGCAGCAATTCTGCCAGATGCAAGAATTCCGCTAAGCAAAGACTCACACACATTGTTTTAATGAATTCTCCTTTTCAACAGTGGGAGCAGTAACTCAGTACCTGCAGGTTTAGTTATTCAATCCAGAGATTTGCAGTTTTTGTGTGTTTTTTTTCACTTGCCAGACAGCAGCAAATAACAGAAATGCAAATAATGTCAGTGTTGTCAGCTAGTTAAGATGAAATCTTGAATTCATTTCCTACGTACAATTTCATATTCCTTTTTAAGTTAACAGCATAACGTTACTAAAAAATATCAATAGACTTTGAGGATGTTAAAACTTTCAAAAATGTTTCTTAAAGGCGTATTTTGCTCTTTATTAATCACATGGTAAAAAATGTTTTGTCAATATAAAGAATGTTAATTATTGATGTGGGTATTTGAATTTTCTCTTTAATATAAAATGTTACTTCAAATAGATCTACGTTCTTAGAAAATCCTTAATTTGTATACACAAGATGTGTGACTGTAAGTCTCTAAACAGAAAGTTAAACACTGAAACGGTGTGAAATTCAAGCTAATGAATTCCATGAAATACAACTTAATTTTCTTGTCTTTTGTCTTAAAGTTCCAGTAATATAATTAATGAGGATGGAAAGTCAGGTAATGTTTCATAGGGACAAAAATCATCCCTAAGTCAGGTCAAGTCTCAACAGGAAAAAAAAGAAAACAAGCAAAAAACCAACAGTGTGCTAACAGTAGTAATTTGTGCATCAGTTGCATTTCTCTTTTAACTGAATAATGCAATAGACCAATGGCTGTTTCTCTTAGAGCAATGCAGCTATTTAAAGGTAATCCTCTACAGTACAGCTGAAGAAAATCCTTTAAAAAATAATCTTCAAGGTGATACATACACCTATGTGTTATACCCTGTCTATCACTATGCTGTATTACTTGCTCTTCTGTCCAATAGGTAGTGGTAATTATCTGCATATATATACATGTATGAGAAAGGGAGAACAGATGTCTATGATTATGTAAGTTATGGTAATTAACAGTTCATAAATGAAACAAGTTTGTTTTTGTTGATGTGTCACTTGCACACTCCTCCTCTTGAGCATTGAGTTACATCCTGTACACGATCGCCTTATTGTTTACTGTCATAAAAATTCCAGTTTTGTTTCTGAGCAGTCACAGAATGGGACTTGCCAGCTGTCATGGAAAATGTATTCAATTTCATTTCCACTTAATTTATCTAATCTTAATTCTATTATTATTTTATTATAATTATTTAAATGCTTGGGGCAACAATCTAAAGTAAAAACAAGTAAACAGTAGGAGATCCAGATAATTTGTAAGTGATCTGAAAGGTCTAATGGAAACCACATCATTATTACAGTTTTATTTTTTAAAAGGTTAATATTATAGAAGTTTCATCATTGCTGATATAGTTAACAGTCTGTTAACATTGGCATGGCATGTAAAATTCATGTTTCATTATATGAATGGTTAAACTATAAAAACTCACTTTGGACAGGAAAAAAAACCCTGTGAAATAGTGTTTAGCTGTTCAAAACCTTGTAACTACAGGCCTGGTATCCCTATTTTCAGTGCTTGAAACACAGGAGATCAAGACTGTGATTATGCCCATTTCTGTTCTGCTCAACAGATTCATGTGAAGGCACACACTAGCTTCCTTGACTGCAATGCAATCCAAACTCGGGCTTGAAAACCCAACACTCAGAGTATTGCGTCAAGCTGAGAATGTGCGGTTGCTGTCCTCTGCTCAGCTGCTTGTCTCACCTCTTCAGCAAAAACTGTGAGTACCTGCATTCAAAGCAGTGCAAAGCCATTGTCTGTCTTACATTTGAAGCATGATTTTATTCAGTTTTAGGTTTAATTGTAACCTGTAGCTTCCGTTTAATCTCTGAACGCAGCCCCAGTTGCTCTCACAACCTTGACAGTCGCCTTGCCTACTGAGTCTCTGAACCACAAAGCCTTCATTACCATTACTCATTTTACTTCATCACCTTTTTTGCCTTGTCTTGATTCTCCCCATAACTGATAAGGGCTCATACAGGGTGGCTTTCAGCATAATTTGTGTTCAGTCTTTCTCTTTTCTAATGAAATGAGTTATTTATTTCTGCTGTTTCAATCTTAAGACCATTTTTCTCTATTTCTTTTTGCTTTTCATATTGAACCTTTAGATAGCATGATATGTTCCAATGCATTGATGTGGCTAAATCACATAACAAAGATATATAACATCAAATTAAACATTAAGGAATGTCTAGTGTATAATTTTAATTCTGTTCTTGAACTGCCATGTAAGAATTATGAAACTATTAAATTCATGCATTAAATTCATCACATAGTGTTGTAGGTTTATCCAGTGTGTAATAAGGCATTTGATTAAGTAAAAGATAACTGTAAGTATCCTGGGCCTGATCCAGTCATCACAGAGGCTGATACACAGCTTTCGATCATAACAAGATGAGGGGGGTTGATTCCTAATTATCACCACACACATAAAAATGAATTTGGTTCTACAAGAATTCAGAAGGATAGTTCTGGCTTATTTCTCATTTTTTAACTTCGGGGAGTTCCAGCAGCATTCAAATCTTTCAAAGAAGTTTGGATTTCAACTTCATGTAAATAGCTGCAGATAATTGTACTTCTTCAAGGCAATTCCATCTATGACACATAGTTACAGTACAGGAGAGGGAGGCAAAATTCCAGAATGATGATTCCAGAAGTGATTTATTTAGCATTGTAACTTGACTTTGTTTCCTGGCAGAAACTGATTGTGTTCGTTTGGTTTGGATACAATGTATTGACAAAGGGCGGGTTGTTTTTCCCTTTTTATCTTAGTCTGATGTGGAAATAGAGAAAAATAATCCGTCCTGAGAGCAAACAGCAATCCCAAACTCAGTGTTTGCTTGAAATGGCTGACCTTGCTAAGGATATATGCACACAGATTATCAGGCCTCAGCGAGTAGTTAGGAAACCCTGGCAAGTGACAGGGTGCCTGTGCGAGCAGATGCAAGACCCTCTGCTCACACTGTGATGCTGGAGCTGTAGGCTAGCGATGTGCCTGGGGAAGTCTGCTCTACAAAGCCTGGCTCACCTCTCCTCCTACTGAAGTTCTTTTGAGAACTGACATCCAGTCTGCCCAAAGGCAGAAGGGAAAGGCACAGTGAGACGAAGTCCTTACCCCCTGGAGTGGCAGAGCCTGCTGTCCCCTGAGTCATAACACTCTTGTGGGTCCGGGTTTCAGCACAGGGACTGGGCGGGCCAGAGCCATGCTGATGGTCATCCTGCTGATGTAGCTGGGGCTTTCATCCCCGACCCCATTTTCTCTCTGTGGACGCTATGTTTCTTCCTCAGGTTGGCATGAGAAAGCGGTGAGGCTGTGACACAGAAATCACCTTGTAACTTGATATTGGAAAGTTTAGAAAATTGACTGCTGCTAAAATAGGAGCTATGAAAGTGCCATCTGCAGTTCAGTCGCACGGGGCAAATCTCACAGGCCTTATGCAGTCGGAACACCCATGGAGCAGGCACTGCGGGAGCTGACCTGCAGGATAATAGAGATGCATACTGTATGAATCGGAAGTAACACCTGGCCTTTGTCTGGAAAATTACCATTTTTTTAGGCCAGTCTTCAAAGCTAAACATTTCTTTAGGACTCTGGAGCCATTGAGGAGGCAGACAAAAGGAATAGAGTCATGGAGAGACATGTAAAAGCTGTAGACCCAGCAGAAAAGGCGAAAGGGTATGGGAGAGGGCTAGGGAAACAGAGTAAAAACCTCAGTATAAAATTCCGTGCAGATCAGTTTTTCCAAGGGTGAAAGGAAAATGCATTTCCCAATAGATTTAAGTGATTTCATTACACAATTACGTGCTTGCCTAAACTTCAGCCACATACTGTTACCCATCCTTGCAAGTAATCAGTTTTTGATCTGTTTTACAAACATATGCTTAGCTTAACCATAAAATACATTCATGTCTGTGTTCAAAAAGACACAACCATCAGATTTTTTACTTTTTTTCTTTTCATTTTAGTGGTAGGGATCATTTTTGAGTAAACGCACAAGCCATGGAAAAAGAATGCCTGATCTTTAGAAAGACCCAACATACATTTGCTATATACTTCCAATGAAGGATAAATGTTGCTCTTCTACATTAGCACTCCAGTTTCCAAACAGATGCACAACTCATTATACTCAGGTACAAAAGAAACAATTTTCATGGCATATCCAGATTATTTGAAGTTGCATTCTCACAGATATCTGTCTCTGGTCTGAGACTGATTTGACACAACACAAGAGTAGGTTGAAGTCACTAGAACTACTCAAATGCTTAAAATTTCACACTTTCTCAAATGGTTCCATTTCTGGATCAGGCTCTCATGAATAATCAGACCTTAGGCTTCTTGGACTTTTCTTTGGGTGATCAGGTCATAAAAATGAGAATGCTGTCTTTGTAGAGAGTTAGCAGACACAAACTGCAAGCTGATCAGCCTAATTGTGTGACATCCTTCCCTAAATCAAATTAGTCACAAATGATTATCAGTTGCAGCCCTAAATCCTGACGTAGCTTGGAAATATATGAGTTTTCATAAAGGTTATTTTGGAGGACCAGGAAAAAAAAGAAAAACATATTATCCCTGATATATCTGGTGACACTTCCTAACAGCTACAAGAAAACTTTAGGGAGAATTTCTGTATACAGTTGCACATTTTTCAAGGGCAAGTCAGCTAGCTGAGCCACAGTGCTGGAACCTGCTGCCAGCAGCCACCCTGGATATTTTTGCCTGGTCTTATCCATGCTGGTTCACAGCTATTAATATTTTGAATAAATTATGCAATTTGGATTTGTACAGTTAGGAAAACAGTCTTCTCATCTGCTGGTAGCACCGAGTCCACAGAGCCTGACTTTTTCTGGGCTGCCTGTGTGAGATGTAGAGGTTACGTCAGTGTTCAGGTTGGACCATTCATCTCAGAAAACTTCTGCAACCATTTCACAGACAGCAAGTTGATACCGTCCCTGGAGAGCACACCTGTGCACAGGCATTTCCTCAACTATATACAATATTCTTACATTTAACACAGACAAGGAGCCAAAGCCATGTCGTGGTGACATGCCATGTTAAAACAGATAGATAGCTATTTCAGCACTTTCTCTGCAGTGCTGTAATCACAACTGCATGTTACAACTTTGCAGGCAAACTTCTTGAGACATTAGGTATATTGTGTCCTATTACAGAACAATTTGAGGTGTGTATACTTTGACTGAACAAATAATTAATGGTTTCCTTTTCTGTTAATCTGTCTCTTCTACTCTCAGCTGATTTTTCCCTGTATTAGTCTTTAAATCCATAATTGAAGGAGCAGATCTCTCTCTTTTTTTTTTTCTGAGCACCTGCTTCCTGTTTTCAAATGTAGGGTAAGTCATAGTGTATATTTTTTTTTCCCGAGGGGAAAATTCTTTACTCCTAGAGCACAAATAAGGTTGTTTATATTTGCCTCAAGTGCCAGAACTTAACATACTCTTATGCTCCAGTTATCCAGCTGACATTCTGTATTTATTAGATTTTTAGTACAGTATGTGGCATTATAATCAATGCGTTATTGACAAAAGCACTTGGATCATACACTATTTATTTAATTTACTACACTGACTCTTATGCAGTACATTTAATGCATACACTGTGTTTTCCTGGCACATTCAGATACATTATTCAGAAGGGGCACATGGATTGTGCAACAAACCGCTATAATGTCTTAGTTATGTCAGAAGCTTTTCTGTAAACTGTTGATCATTAACTCATTCTCTGCTGCAAACCTAGCTTGCTACACACTGGGCTGTTATTGGTGAAGTTTGCCCATAGTTATGCAGCATTTTTGATGTCTAGTAAAGTCATAACATAAGCATTTTATTGTAACCTGCAGGCACCATAAATACTAGATCTCCAACGTTTTTATAACCAGTTGTATCAAAGGCAATCTGATTGTCACTCTTTCAGGATTCTTCCATTAGTAAGCAGCCTTATATTACAGGCATAAAACACTGTTAAGCATTTTAGCTCCGCCAGACTAGCTGCAGCTGTGTCATATTTGTGTTCCCTTATTTTATGTGTGCCAGTTATCTAGATTAAAGTTGGAATAGCATAGCACTCCACTAGATGACAGGCTTGGTTTAAAGCCAGACCACTTAGTGATGCTTATCAAACAATTTTCAGCTACATACAGTAGCATAATTTAAAAAGCCAAGAAGACTCTAAATTATCAGACATGCCATAAGAGATCATTTCTTTTTTGGATGGAAGGTTAAATAATTCCCCTTACAAATACATGGAGCCTCCCTAGTCAAAGACCTCCGTAAAATTCAATTTCACTTTATGTTTTGAATGTTTATATACGACTCTCATCACAATGAATGTACACTATCTTACCCAGTATGGGACCCAAGATAGAAAATTTGTCAAACTAGTGGTCCATCGACTTCAGCAAATCTTGCTTTCAGAAACTCATTTTCCTGTTTCCTTGGTTGTGACTTTAACTATTGGCTCAACTCCACCTAATGGCTTGCTCCAAGGCAGCTATGAATTGACCTGCAACCCCACTAGATGCGAGTTCAGTTTGAGCTTCCCACCTAATAAGGTAGGACAACCTGTACTCATGGATTGCATAGATTTGCAGGAAGAGTGTGATTCCTGGATTTGGCACTCCCTAGCCCTCAGAGATGCATAGCAGGGAGCAGTTCCTGCACTCTGATGACTGTCTGGACTGGTATCATGGCTGGTCTTTTGTGAAG